GAGATACGGTTCGGTGGGGTTGTTGTCGTCTGATGTGGAAGCGAGGATTGTGGATCAGGATACGGGTCGGGTCATGGGTGTCAACCAAACGGGCGAGCTCTGGCTCAAAGGCCCCGCCATTACAAAAGGTACGCTAACTATATAAAACGGTATTTACCAGCCAAAAAACTATATTAACGGTAACCAAAACAAGGGTTGTCGAATTTATTTTATATTCGTGTTGGTGATAAAGGTTATTTTAGGAATGAAGAAGCTACAAAAGAAACTATTAATTCACAAGGATGGCTTAAAACTGGAGATCTCTGCTGTATCGATGATGATGGATTTCTTTTTATATTGGATCGATTGAAAGAATTGATCAAATACAAAGCTAACCAGGTTAGAAAATTATCTTCTTCTTCTTTTTTCATATGAAGGTTGGAAAACAATCTTCGTTTAATTATTCGGATAAATTTGGTCATCCATGTTTAACAAAGAAAATAATCTTCGTTTAATTTAATTAACGCGCTGAATCATTGGCTCGATCTTTATCAAAGATATGAGATAGTGCTAAACTTTTGTTGGTGATCGTTGTGTAGGTCCCTCCAGCTGAGCTAGAGGCTTTGCTATATACTCATCCTGAAATCGTCGATGCTGCAGTAATCCCGTAAGTCACAACAAACACTCGGTCATTTTTGTACCAAAATAGTCTCGAGTTTTCTAATTGGTCTTTTGGCGATTTACAGGTATCCAGACAGAGAAGTGGGGCAATTTCCGATGGCGTACGTTGTAAGGAAAACAGGGAGTTTCTTATCAGAGAAGTCGATAGTGGAGTTTGTATCAAAGCAAGTAGCACCGTACAAGAGGATACGAAAGGTGGCTTTCGTATCTTCGATACCAAAGAATCCTTCGGGCAAGATTCTGCGCAAGGATCTCATAAAGCTCGCAACTTCCAACTCCAAGCTTTGAAATGAGAACCTACCTCCGTGTATTATTAATATTTGTACTGTAGTAAATCTGTTACCTTTGTTGAAAGATGAGTCTGAGGCTGAGGTCTCAAACTACAGAAGATTACACATAAGTAATGTGGAGATAGCATTACTGTTTAATTTTATATATAGAGAATACTTTCAGAACATGTTTTTGATCAAAATATTAGCCAAAGATAAAAGCTTGGATGCTACGCTACACCTAATTTATTACACCATTTAACAAATTTCCTATGGTATTTGACGTAAAGACTTATTCCTGAAGTTGTATAACATCGCAGAGGAGAGGGTGTGCGCGCCAGAGCGAAGAAAGGCCGTTACGGATGGTGAGAGCAAACTCTGCCCAAGTGACCTAATGATTTGTCTTTTGTGTCACTGCTCTGTTTTGAACCACAAGCCAAAACTGCTGTTATGAATCGTGCAAAAATGTCAAACTTTCTTTAAATCTGTTATGTCCAAAATACTGAAATAGACAGATCTCTAAGCAATGAATTTTTTAAAAATGTAGTAGTGCCAACATTTTTTTGTTCCCTTGTTCGAGCCATTGTAGATGTACGGATAGCTAGTTAAACATTAGATATGAGACTAGAGTTATAAATCTTGATTATGTCAGAATAATATTAGCTCATGGCAAAACTAAAGACTAGTTATGTGAAAAAGAAAAAGATCTATTTATTTATGCCCAACCTAAAATATGGTGGATACTATAATTTGTGATATCATTTCTATATCTCCTGAGCATATGATATAACATGTGCCTGACTAATTGTCGGGGATTTCTTGGAATATGTACAGGTAGATTCACGTTTTTCATACTGACAAACTGTAGAACTTCGTCGGCATGAAAAAAATAAATAAACAGAAACTACGCTTAAATTAGGTTCTATAGCCAATTCAAAAGAAGCCTATTCAATAATTTAAATTTCCTTTTAGTCAGATTGCAAATTTACATCATTGTTTTTAGAAAGATTAGAAGTCCTAATTAAAACGAAGGAAAAAACCACCTATTCAATAATTTAAAAGAATGAAAAAATCTCTCACTAGATAAATAAAATTAAAATACCAAATACTACAGAAAAAAGAAAAAAATTCTGATCTTTTAACTTTTTGGGTCAGTTTCTTGAATTTATCTCTTTTTAGTCATTTTTTATTTATTTGGTAGATCATAGTAAAAATCTAGTGTAACATATTTGTTACCTTAAATATTTTAAGAAAATCTACTGATTTTTTCAATTATTAAATTCTTTTAAATTTACCAAACAAATAATACTAATTTTTTTCCTTTATAATCTAAAAACATACGTTTTATATTAAAACCCCCTTAAAGAATGATTGCCAGATTAAAGAAAATATTTCGAGTTTTTGTCTTTCACACTTAAAAATATTACGAAATACCACGGAAAATATTTTAAAGATACATTATGTTAACAAGTGTCTAATTAAAAAAAAAAATGCCGAGTTGTTAGGATTCATGGCGTATTGGCGCGTGTCAACTTATTTAATCTCAGCCAGAGCTCTCCATGACTCCATCTACTCTCCTGAAGAAAAATGGCGAATTCCCAAAGATCAACATTACTCATTGATCCTAGAAACGGTTTCTGCAAAGCAAACTCAACGTTTTACAGCAAACGCAACCCATTGCCACTTCCGGCGAACGCCTCGCTCGACGTCACAACTTTCATCTCCTCTCAACCTCACCGCTGCACAACCGCCTTCATCGACGCCACTACAGGCCACCGCATAAGCTTCTCCGATCTCTGGAGAGCCGTCGATCGCGTCGCTGGCTGTCTCCACTATGAAATCGGGATACGAAGAGGCGACGTCGTACTCATCCTCTCCCCAAACTCCATCTACATTCCCATCGTCTGCCTCGCCGTCATGTCTCTCGGCGCCGTCGTCACCACCGCGAATCCTCTAAACACCGCCGGTGAGATCGCCAGACAGATCGCCGACAGCAACCCAACGCTCGTCTTCACGAGTCCCGATCTGGCTCCAAAACTCGCGGATTCCGGTATCTCCGTTGTCCTCGAGCGCGTGGGGCCCACTCGTGGAGGAGTGAGAGTCGTTGGGATTCTGACTGAAATGATGAAGAAGGAACCGAGTGGGCAGCGAGTCAGAGACCGAGTTGAGAAAGACGAAACGGCGATGCTGCTCTACTCTTCCGGGACGACGGGAAGAAGCAAAGGAGTGAAGTCGTCTCACGGAAACTTAATCGCACACGTGGCGAGATACATAGCGGAGCCAGCGGAGCAGGCGGATCAGATCTTCCTCTGCACCGTTCCGATGTTCCACACCTACGGAATGATGATATTCGCTATGGCTACCGTAGCATTGGGCTCGACGGTTGTGATTCGCCGGAGGTTTGAGCTCCACGAGATGATGGAGGCGGTGGAGAAGTACAGAGCCACGATTCTGGCTTTGGCGCCGCCGGTTTTGGTAGCCATGATTAGCGGAGCGGATCTGATCAAGGCCAAGTACGATCTGAGCTCCCTGAGAACGGTTAGGTGCGGTGGAGCGCCGTTGAGCAAGGAGGTGACGGAGGGGTTTAAGAGGAAATATCCAACGGTTGATATTTTTCAAGGGTACGGTTTGACGGAATCAAACGGTGCAGGAGCTTCGATTGATTCGGTGGAGGAGAGTCGGAGGTACGGTTCGGTTGGGTTGTTGTCGTCCGGTTTAGAAGCGAGGATCGTGGATCAGGGTCGGGTCATGGGTGTGAACCAAACGGGCGAGCTTTGGCTCAAAGGGCCCTCTGTTGCCAGAGGTAACAGAAGCTGGTCTGTAACATACATACAGTGTTCAAAAGTTCAAAACGCTAACGTTTTTGTATTTATTTTGTGTAAAAAGGTTATTTTAGGAATGAAGTAGCTACGAAAGAAACAATTAGTTCAGATGGATGGCTTAAAACCGGTGATCTTTGCTATATCGATGACGATGGATATCTTTTCATCGTTGATCGATTGAAAGAGCTAATCAAATACAAAGGTTATCAGGTTTGAAATAATCAACGTTATGTCATTTCGGATAAATTTGGATATTAATATTTGGTTTAGCAAACAAACAAAAAAAATCCCATGCAAAAATCTAACGTTTTTTGGATTGTATAAAAGGTAGCTCCAGCTGAACTAGAAGCTCTCTTGCTGAGTCACTCAGATATTCTTGACGCTGCCGTTATACCGTAAAGTCTTGCCATCACTTTTATTTGTTTTTCGATTAAGACTACAAAAGTTTTGCTTTTAAAACATCAAAACAAACTCAACGAACATGTAGTTCTCTTTTTCCTTGTTGGCTTTGTGTAAATTGTAATGCAAAGGTTTCCAGACAAAGAAGCAGGACAAGTTTACTTCGAAGCTTTAAAAGAATCATGACACTGTTACTTCTATTTGCATATGTTTCTCAACATAACAAGAGAATAAGTTTCTAATTAATCTAGTAATGAATAAAAACCTATTTTCAATCAGTTTTCTTTGAAAATATATAATGTGGTTTTAAATCACGCGTAAGGGATTTCTCGGCATACAAGTTTTTGCTCGCTTATGTGTTTGTAATGTAATTGGCCTATTTTACAATCTATGATAATTGAACTTGTTAAATGTGTGAAAAACATAAATATTATGTTTAGTTATTTTTTGAAAAAAAATAATCATAATTTGTATGCCGAAATATACATTAAGAGAATGTATTGAATAAGTGATTTTAGATGAATTAGAGTGATTTCATTATATATGATTCTGGTTGTTATGATTTTAATGAAAACACTTAAAAACTTTGATATTTGGAGAGTCAAATTTTAACTAAAAAAACTCCGTGGCAAATTTCAAAACTACACATTTTTGAATGTACATTTTCAAAACTACATTTCTATAGTGTGTATTTTCAAAACTACAGTTTTTCATTAAAAATAAAACTATAAACCCAAAATTTAAACCCTAAACCCTAAAAACTGACCTTAAACTCTTAAATATAAACCCTAAACCCCAAAATCCAAACTATAGTTAGGGATTAATGAACCCAAACTTAGATGTTAAATTTATAAAAAGTGTAATTTTGAAAATTTATACCATATAGGTGTAGTTTTGAAAATTGATACCTCATACATGTATTTATTAAAATTTCTCTTAAAACAACTTAAAATCACAAGAGATCACTAAAATTCACCACTTAAAATATTTATAATAACACTGAACTTTTTAAAGCACACTTTAAAATATTAGGTTTAATAACACTAGATTTTACATCACTTTTAAAATTTTGTGTTTTCATAATAAATAATTTTTCATTTTAACACAAATCACTCTAAAATCTAAATTATCTCAAATAATAGTTGAATACATCCAAACAAAAAAAATAAAAGTGAGATTGCTAGAGTGTTTAAGGTTTCCGAAATCCTCCACTCTACCGATCACCCTCCACGTTTTCCATTCGTTATTCGGTGGGGCCCACTAAATTATTATGCTGACGCTGGTCCCGCTAAAATATTATTTAAAAATCTTAACAGTTCTCCAATAATGGAATGAAAAAAATGTAAACTATGACCAACTTTTTTGAATGATAATATCTATATATAATAGCAAACTCACTTTTTGTGTTCGCTGACGTCATCATTTTTTGTAGGAGAAAAAAAAAACACATCCAACGGCCATAATCTTAACTAATCAATCAAACAGACGGTCACGATTAATCAGAAAACCCACTATTCGGACACTGCTGATGTCATCATTTTAAAAACTCATCCAACGGTCATAATCTTATCTAACTAATTAAACGGATGGTCAAGATTAATCAGAACAAAATCTGCAGCCAAGGTTGCGTTGTTCACGAAGGCGTCTCTCTTTTGCTCTGCGAAATGGTGCAATCATTAGGTAGAGATGCGTTAGGAAAAGTCATCTCTTTTGGATTGAACGAACGTGTCTTTTTAATCGCAGCCATTTGAGTAGCCTCTCCTCATAGTTATATTATATATAATCCAATTCGTTATAG